ATACATAGAATTCCATCTGTAGATGTTCATTCCATTAGTAGATGTCCATATGTTCATTATGTTTACTTATTTGATAGTGTTTGTGTCAGATGAAAAAGAATATCTTAGATCTTTTGTAAAGAAATGACTGCACCCATAGCAAGGAGTGTGGTTGGCTGTCAGCCTCTAGCTGCCAGCTCCGCTAGGGTCTATCTCAGGTTTTGAGTTGAGGTTACTTTCTTCTTGCCGTTGCCTGAACCCAACATGAGGCTCTTATAAAAGCAAATCTTTGTTCCAGAGCTTCCCATGGGGTTGGCCAATACTTTGTGAGATCTTATATCACCATCTGATGGGTTCTTCTCTGTAAGCCTTTCTCCTTTCCTTTCTAAGATGTTGCTTGTCAATGCAACTTCTGTAAATCTAACGTTATCTCAGTGTCTGATTGCTGGAGAACCTGACTAGCATAGTTGGCATGAGGAGTGGTTTGATAATGAAAGCCGTGCTCAGTTAGCAAGGCATTGAAAACTAAGCATGAGAGCCAGAACACTTTCGCAGCTTACAAAGAAGCCCTTATCTCATGCAGTAGATTAGCAGAAAAAGCTGAAGATCAAACCCTTGTCTAAGAGTCAGAGCAGGTGAACTTTCAACACAGTTGAATGCACAGATGCAGTTGTGAGATGTCCAAGTCGGGGCCGTAGCTAGAGGACCTGGAACCGCACCCCAAGGATAGTGTTATCTGGGTGAATTTATCCCTCTTCCAATTTGATTCCCCAGACTTCTTTGAATCTTTTGAGCTTTCAGAAGGACCTTTTTCCCATCCCGGAAGGTACTACCAGTATCCCTGTGCAGAAAGTAATATAGAGGGACAGAGAGGGAGGGAGAACATGAGTACCAATTACTTTGACTATGGGGGAATAGCTGGTCTGATCCAGTTATACCATTGTGTCTGCAAGTGAAGCTTTTTCCTTAACTTTTTAAATAGACTTTAGTTTTTTACATCAGTTTGAGGTTCACAGCAAAATTGACTGGAAGATTTTTTACATCAGTTTGAGGTTCACAGCAAAATTGAGTGAGCAAAATTGAGTGCACCACAGTGGTGCAGTTGTTACAATCAATGAATCTATATTGACATCATTATCAAAGTCCATGGTTTATATCACTCTTGGTGTTACACATTCTATGGGTTTTGTTAAGTTTATAGTGACATATATATAGGATGAGTACCATACAGAGTAGTTTCACTGCCCTGAAAATCGTCTGTCCTCCACCTATTCTTCTTACTTCCCCCTAACCACTGGCAAACACTGATCATTTCACTCTCTTTGTAAGTTTTAACTTTTCCAGACTGTCATTTAGTTGGAATCATACAGTATGCAGTCTTTTCAGATTGGCTTCTTTCCCTTAGTAATGTGCACTTATGGTTCCTCCCTAAGGAGTCTTTTCTTCACTTAATACCTTATTAATTTTTAGTGCTAAATAAGATTCCATTGCCTGGATCCTGATTTCTTATGGTATGTTAGCATGATATATCTTTCTCAATCAATTACTTTCAATATATATGTATCTTTATATTTAAAGTGTGCTTCTTGTAAACAACATATGGTTAGGTCTTGTTTTTTTATTAAATCAGACAATCTCTGTCTTTTAATTGGTATATTTAGACCATTGATGTTTAAAGTGATTATTGACATACTTGGAATAACATCTACTGTATTCACTAGTGTTTTCTATTTGTTACCCTTGTCCTTTATTCATAGTTTTGAATTTTCCTTTTTCTTCCCTTTATGCTTTTAATTGAGCATCTTATTTAATACCATTTTATCTCCTTTCTTGGCATATCAGTTATACTTTTTTTCCCTATTTTTAAGTGGTTGCCCTAGAGTTAGCAATATAGATTTACAGTTCTTTAAAATTCACTGTCAAATGACACTATGCTGCTTTATGGTACTATGAGTACTTTATAGTAATAAAATAACCCCCATTACCGGAATTATTGCTGTCATTTATTTTATTTATACAAATAAATTGGTTACAAGTTTCCTCAAATTTTGTTTGTCTGAAGAAGTGTTTATTTCTCTTTCATTTTTGAAGGATAATTTCTCAGGACACAGAATTCTAGGTTGCTGGGATTTTTTTCTCTTAAAACATTAAATATTTTACTTTATTCTTTTTTTGCTTGCATGGTTTCTGAGAAGTAATTGGATATGATTCTTATTTTTGCTCCTATTTAAGTAAGGTGTTTTGTTTTCTCTGGTTTCTTTCAAGGTCTTTTGTCTTTGATATTCTGAGTTTAAGTATAATATGGCTAGGTTGTTTTGTTTTTCCACTTATCCTGTTTGTTGTTCTCTGAGCTTCTTCGATCTGTGGTTTCGTGTCTGACTTTAATTTTGGGGGAATTTTCATCCATTATTGCTCCAAGTATTTCCTCTTTTCTCTCCCTTGTTGTCTTCTCTTCCTTCTCAGTTTGCATATGTTATACTTTTTATAGTTCTTCCACAGTTCTTAAATACTATTTGGGTTCTTTTTTCAGCCTTTTTTCTCTTTACTCTTTAGTGTTTGAAATTTTCATTGAGTATTCTCAAGTTCAGAAATTCTTTCCTCAGCTGTGTTCAGTCTAATAATAAACCTATCAAAGGCATTCTTCATTTCTATTAGTGTGTTTTTGATCTCTAGCATTTCTTTTTTATTCCCCTTGTCAGAACTTCTGCTGACGTTGCTCATCTGTTGTGATATGTTATCTCCTTTATCCATTAGAGCCCTTAGCATAATAATCATAGTTGTTTGAAATTTCTGGTCTGATAATTCCATCATCTCTGCCACATGAGTTTTGTTCTTGTGCTTGCTCTATCTCTTCAAACTATGTTTGTGATTTTTGGTATGCCTTGTAATTTTTTCCTGATAGCTGGACATGATGTACTGGGTAACAGGAACTGTGCTAAATAGGCCTTTAGTAACAAGGTGGTAAGGTGTGAGAGGAGGGAAAGTGTCCTATAGTTGCCTAATTAGGTCTCAGTGTTTTAATGAGCTTATGCCTCTGAACTGTTAACCTCACACATGCTTCTCACTTCTCCCCTGGATTCCCCCCCATCCCTGGTCCCAGGTGGGACAGAATAACTAGATTGGACTGGAGTTGGCTATTTTTCTTCTTTTATGTGGAAAGCTAGAGAAGGCTAGAGTTGGGTATTTCCCACCCCCAGTTAGGCCCCCAAACAAAACAGTGGTCTAGGCTCTGGGAAAACAGCTTCTTCTGGGGGCAGGTCTTATCACTAGCAGAATACTTTGGTAAATTTCAAAATGATTACTTTTTTCTTCCCTTGCAGGAAGCATGAAGGGATTTTTAAATTATCTTCTTTCTTTTTCATTTCTCTTCTCCTCTTTCACTGTCAAAACCTGGTGTAGCTCCAGGAGCTAAAGCTCACAAAAGTGTAGGGGTACTCCTTTAACTGGGTTTCCCTGGACTTTTTGACTCTCGAAATAATCTATAGTGAGCCTCTAGTAATTTACTAATTACAGCTCAGGTTTTCTTACCCAGTGCTAGTCCCCATGGAGGCTTCAGCTTTTGGGTCCTTGCTCTGGTAAGTTGTGATTCTCTGTATTCACCTATCTGTCTCTCCAATTTGGGGGCCAGTGATTCTCCCTGTGACCTTATTTCTCTGACAGATCTAAGAAGAGTTGCTGATTTTTCAGTTGGTTCAGCTTTTTACTTGTTGGTAGGAATGAGTGACAACTTCTAAGCTCTCTACCTACCAGACTGTAAATTGGAAGTTTGTCCTTAAAATCTCAATTCTAGTTTTTAAAACATTATTACTACCACATATCTTTTGAGAATAAACTATCTACCTGTTCATTAGCTAAGTTATTTTGTATTGTTCAATCTATGTTTTAAATGTTAACTTTGAAGTCTTCTTTATTTATCAAAATGCAGTGCTCTCTTCCAAATCTTACTTGTTTTCTATAGGCTTTTGTTCCCAGTTTTTTTTTCTTTCTTTTCTTTAGGTGTTTAAAATAGTCTGATAATTCTGATATTTACATTCTTTGAGGTTTATCTGTAACTATTTATGTGGTTTCTTTTATTATTTTTGACTCTAAACTGCTCATTTCCCTTGGAGCTTTATATATGGAAAGTTTTTGTTTTCCTGAATTGATGTTGCACATCTCTGGAGATGATTTTACTTTCTTCTACCAGTCATCAGGGAGCACTGCAAACCTTACCATATTTTAAATTAAAATTTCTGCTCCAAGTTTTACTCCTGAACATGTGGGTAACATAAATTCAAGCAAAAATCCATGTGACACTGAGTTCATGGTTACAAATTCTCATGGGAGATTTTCTTTTCTTTCATCCAGTTCCAAGTTTAAAATGGATAAATATTTTTGCTGCCCCTTCTTTATAATGGGTTCATTTTTCATTCATTCTTTCGCTTAACGTAGGGCACTTTGGGGTACCAGATTTATCAGGCATATTTTATTGAACTACCCATGTCACATTAAAAACTTCTGTTCTTTCTAGCCCATGCAGTCCTAGGGGAACAGGAAACTTTAGTCTAACAAAATTTGGCAGAAGTTTTCAGAATAAAAGATAAATTTCACACACTTCATTTGCTTCTCAGCTTCTGTTTACATTTTATTTTAGCCCTCTGTGGTTTCTTCACTATCTCTACAGCTTAATGATGTATTCATATGTATTTAATTTTTCCCAGCTTTTATATATATATATATATATATATAAAAGAATTATTTTTTCTTTGTTTCAGCTAACAACATTTGTGTTATATATTTATTTTTCATACTTACCTCTACTTAGAGATAGTAAATTGCATTTTATTTTTATCCTGTTAAATCTATGTGTTCAATCATGTAAGTCAGAATGTTATATGTACTTAGTAAAATTGTTCTTCAAATAAGTTTAATCAATGGTTTAATTCATCATCCATTAATTAATTTCATTACATTGTTTATGACCTGCTTATTTGGTATAGTGAATATTAATTGAAAACATTTACATCCATATTAAAACAGAATTACGATGTTCCTGGAAAGCCACTTTCCTGAGAAGAACTGCAACAGATTTTCATGATATCAAGAAGGCTTTATGTTCTTGTGAGAAAGTTTGGCTGTAAGTTCCTATCAAGATTCTACAAAGTAATTTTTATATGTCGCTGTAAAGATGTTATCTAATGTGCTGTATTGTGATGATGTTTATTTAGTTTGCCCTGTTATTCTCTTCTTTCTTATCCCTAAATAGAGTTTATTGCTGAAGTTATTTCTTTATGGAAATTTATGGTACACTTGCCAGTGCTTTGTTCTGTCAGGACGCTGGAGTGTAATTCAGTAAGTAATGTACCTATGAGTACTCTCAAGGCCTCTTTGGAGCGATGCTATATCTGAGGGGATCTGATTTACAATCAAAGAGGCAGCCAGGCAGAATGTTGCCAGATGAAAAGTTCAAAACTCTAAATAATATGTAAAATAAAAATAAAATAGAATGTATCTCATTGCATCTATTTATTAGAACTTTTTTTTTGAGTTAAATCTACAAGAATAAGCCTACTTTAATTTCTTAGAGAAAAGTTACTAAATAAATCTAGGTGGTTATGAAAACTTTAAAATAGATCATATTTTCTTCTTAGAAAAAATAAAACAAATATACTTTGGAAGATACATAAAATAACTTTTCATAGGAATTTGAAATAGAGATTTGGAGAATTATTTTGAAGATCCCTGGTTTTAAGAGTGTTTTCTGCCATTAAATAGATGTTCTAATCTGAAATAATCCTACAATTAAGAGATGGCTTTAAGGTAAAGAAAATATTTAGGCTTTTATGGGAATAAAAGAAACTTTCAAATTTCATCATATCTATAAAATGCAAGTTCTTTATACTTTTATTTAGTGTATATTGTAGAAAATAAACTTTTCTAATAGCGCATTAAAAGGGCATTGTCTCTCAACATGGCAGTCACAATTCTCAAAAGTCTGAACATATCCTAGACTATAATGAATATTTTTTTTAGAAATAAAGGCACCTTTAGGTGTTGAACTTCGGTTAAACAGAAAATTAGAAAAAGAATGAAAAAGAATTAGGATCAAAACAATATTTCACATGTGTAGCTGGGGTTGATCAGTGTTTTACAAGCAATAAGGATTTTATACAATGATAATGTAGACTAGTAGGTGTGAATATATTTTTGTCATTTAAACCAGCTTGCCAGACTTTTGATAAATGATATGATGATGAATTAGTGTGTGTTAACAGCTCCCTTTCCATGTATTCAACTTTGTAAGTGTCCCACAGTGAGAGAGAGGAAGGTGACAGGCTCTCATTTTTTAAAGATAGGTCTTACCTTGTAGCCTAGGTTGAAGTTAAGTGGCACAATCATAGCTCACTGTAGCCTCAAACTCCTGGGCTTAAGCGATCCTCCTACCTTAGCCTCTAAAGTAGCTGGGACTACAGGTGCATGACACCATACCCGCTAATTATTACTTTTTATTTTTGTAGAAGCCAGGTCTCTCTATATTGCCCAGGCTGGTCTCAAACTGCTGGTCTCAAGCAATCTTCTTGCCGTAGCCTTCCACAGGGCTGGGATTATAAGTGTGAGTCACCACACCCAGCTGGCTCTCATAACCTGGGATGAAAACAGCAAAAGGCAAAAAAACCGCACAAACAAAATGCCTAGGTCTACAAAAAGTATAAGAGTCACTGAGGAAGAAATAGCAGTCAAAAAAGGAAGAGAACTACAGATCATGAATAGGCAGACTAGGGGGTTATGGTTTTTGTTTCAGTTATAAAATGATGGTTCATTGCTACTCTCTGGTCACTATGAAAAAGTCCAAACCCTAGCAAAAAAAGGGAGCTGCCCACAGAAAGAATCCCAGATATCCGTGGAGAGTTAACTTCAAGGATTCATCTGAATATTATCAGTGCATGCATTAGAGAAAAGAGCCCCAGCCTAATCAAAAAGCAAACAAACAAACAAAAAACAAACCTGAAACAACTAAAAGGGTCAGCGCCCGGTACTCACACAGGCATGGGAATAATGCCTATTCACAACAGTTAGACCAAATAGTTCATAATCCACAGGGCATTGGATAGTCTATGCAGAATATCTTGTCTCAGTGGTAAGTAATAATTAACCCTACAGTAAGGACCACTCCAGACCCACTAAAAATCATAAAACCAACACCTAAGAATATCAGACAGTTTCTCAGTAATTTAAAATGAATTTCAGAAAAAAACCCTCAAGAATATTTATAAGAATATTTGAAATCCAGTAACATCAAGGTAAAATTCATAATATCTTGTATCCATTCAATGATGACCAGGCACGAAAAATGAAACCAGAAAACAAGACCGATATGAGGAGATTAATCAGTTGACTCAGAATTTGTGTAGTTGTTAGAATTAGCAGACACCTACATTAAAACTTAATGTAAAACTTTTCATAGTTTCTAAAGTTACACTGAAACAATGAGCTATCATTTCTCACTGTTTTGAATATCTAAAATTAAAAGGACTGATAATGCCATGTGTTGGGAAAAATGTGGAGGAAGAGTAATTCTCATCCTTTCTTATTAGAGATACAAAATATCACAAAACCCAAAGATTTTATGATTGTTGATAAAACTAAATATACACCTATCCTATGACCCAGGAATTCCCACTTCTAGGTACTTATCTGAAAGAAATGAAATCACATTGCTGCAAAAAGTCTTGTGTAACAATTTACATGGTAGATGTGTTAATCATATTCAAAACCTGGAAAGAGCTCAGGTGCATCAGCAAGAAAAGGAATATGCAAACTGGATAAAATAGAAATGATGATACAGTAAAGTGCAATGTTAAAGTGGAATAGAACTCACAGATTAAAATGAGGAACTACTAATACAAACACAACGCAGATGATTATCACAGATATTATAGTGACTGGAAGGAACAAGCAAAAAAAAATGCATGATTTGATTCTATAAAGTTCTATAACAGGCAAATAATGGAAATCAGAACAGTAGTTGACTTGGGAGTGGGAGTAGGGGTGGGATTGACGTCACATGGGCATGATTTAACTTTCTAGGGTGATAGAAATGTTCTATAACTTCATACGGGTATGAGTTCCATGTCCACAAACAACCATACATATTTTTGAAGACTACATACAAACAAAAGTATTTATTAAACACTTTACATTGGTGGTGTAAATGCCCCAATTAAAAGACACAGACTGGCAAATTGGATAAAGAGTCAAGACCCATTGGTGTGCTGTATTCAAGAGACCATCTTATGTGCAAAGACACACATAGGATCAAAATAAAGAGAGGGAAAAAATTATCAAGCAAATGGAAAGCAGAAAAAAGCAAGGGTTGCAATCCTAGTCTCTGACAAAACAGACTTTAAACGAACAAAGATCAAAAGAGACAAACAAGGGATTACATAATGGTAATGGGATCAATTCAACAAGAAGAGCTAACTATTCTAAATATATATGCACCCAATACAGGAGCACCTAGATTCATAAAACAAGTTATTAGAAACCTACAAAGAGACTTAGACTCCCACACAATAATAGTGGGAGACTTTAACACACCACTCTCAAGATTAGACAGAGCAATGAGATAGAAAATTAACAAGGATATTTAGGACTTGAATTCATCTCTGGAACAAGTGGACCTAATAGATATCTACAGAACTCGCTACCTCCAAACAACAGAATATACATTCTTCTCAGTTCTACATGGCACTTACTCTAAAATCAACCACATAGTTGGGAGTAAAACATTCCTCAGCAAATGCAGAAGAAATGAAATCATAACAAACAGTCTCTCAGACCACAGTGCAATCAAATTAGAACTCAAGATTAAGAAACTCACTCAAAACCACACAACTACATGGAAATTGAACAACCTGCTCCTGAATGACTCCTGGCTAAATAATGAAATTAAGGCAGAAATCAAGAAGTTCTTTGAAACCAGCGAGAACAAAAAGACAGTGTACCAGAATCTCTGGAATGCAGCTAAAGCAGTGTTAAGAGGGAAATTTATAGCACTAAAAGCCCATATCAGAAAGCTAGAAAGATCTCAAATTGACACCCTAATGTCACAATGAAAAGAACTAGAGAAGCAGGAGCAAACCAATCCAAAAGCTAGCAGAAGACAAGAAATAGCTAAGATCAGACTGGAGCTGAAGGAGATAGAGACAGAAGAAAACCCTTCAAAAATCAGTCCAGCAGTTCGTTTTTTGAAAAATATTAATAAAATAGATAGACTAGGTAGACTAACAAGAAAAGAGAAGAATTAAATAGACACAACGAAAAAAATGACAGAAGGGATATCACCACTGACCACACAGAATTACAAACTACTGTCAGAGAATACTATAAACACCTCTATGCAAATAAACTAGAAAATTTAGAAGAAATGGATACATTCCTGGACATATACACCCTCCCAAGACTAAGGAAGAAGACAAATCCCTGAATAGACCAACAACATGTTCTGCAATTGAGGCAGAAATAAATAGCCTACCAACATAAAAATCTCAGAACCAGGTGGATTCACAGCTGAATTCTACTGGATGTACAAAGAGGAGCTGGTACCATTCCTTCATAAACTATTCCAAACAACTGAAAGGGAGAGACTCCTCCCTAACTCATTTCATGAGGCCAGCATCATCCTGATACCAAAACCTGGCAGAGACACAACAAAAACCAGGAAACTTCAGGCCAATATCCCTGATGAACATTGATGTGAAAATCCTCAATACAATACTGGCAAATCAAATCCAGCAGCACATCCAAAAGTTTATCCACCATGATCAAGTCAGCCTCATTTCTGGGATGCAAGTCTGGTTCAACATATGCAAATCAATAAACAAAATCCATCACAGAAACATAACCAATGACAAAAACCTCATGATTATCTTGATAGATGCAGAAAAGACCTTTGATAAAATTCAACATTCCTTCATGTTAAAAACTTTCAATAAACTAGGTATTGATGGAAGATATCTCAAAATAATAAGCACTATTTATGACAAACCTGCAGCTAATATACTGAATGGCCAAAAGCTGGAAGCATTCCTTTTGAAAACTGGCACAAGACAAGGATGTCCTCTCTCACCACTCCTA